GAAATGTGACCGGTGCTCTCGTTGCGCAAGCACGAAGCATGGTTTCTGAGCTCAAGGGGGTATTTGTAAAGAATTTGGGGATTAAAGGGCTAATCGTTTTGGAAAATCTCGTTTGCCCACCTCGTGGCGGGCCCTGACAGGGTGTCCTGGATAAATACACACTTTCATAATCGTCAATATCTCTCTTCCCAGTTTGTCCTTTTCTGTCAATCACGTACCATTCTGTAGACGAGACTTTTTAAACTTACAGTATTGAAAACACCGATCGCTCTTTCATTACTGTAGAATTACTGCAGGAATTTCAGCAAAAGCGCCATTGTGGAATAGGTCTTTTGAGAAAAAAGACCAAAAAATCCGAAAAATTGTTATCCTTTCGAATAAGCTATGTTCAGTAGACGACGTTTCCGACTTGGTGGACTGGTTAAAGCGGAATTTCGACGTTTCCGACTTGGTGGACTGGGTAAAGCGGAATTTCCGACTGGGTAAAGCGGAATATGGCATGATACACGAGCGAGGGACATGATACGATAAAATCGCGTAACTTAGGTAATACATATTGGGTAAAGCCAACCAATGCTATCTCATTCTACCAACTGTGACATGAGCATTTTTACAGACAAAAGCTGTAGTGCTTTATAAGCGAATCTAAACGAGAGAATTAAGAGGCAGCACCCTTCTCTTCTTTGCTTGTTGAAGAAACCTTGCCCTGCTCCCTCAGCTTCACGTTGCGCTCGTGATAAACCACCAAGTCATCCAAAGCACATTCCATTTTTTCGATCAGGATGTCGATTTCCTACAGCACTCGGATTTTGTTATATGTAGGAATTAGTACAAACAACCTTTTCCTTTTTATCTTCTTCGCTGCATTTCAATACCTCATCGAAAAAAGGCAATATATCGAACAACGCGAAAAATAATCCCAATGGTAAGCATCGGCGGTATGATTCATTCAACTGAACTAAGCATTTTTAGAAGAATTCTGCAAAACCACGTAGAACATACCTGTTCAAGAGTGTAGGGCATCTCCCCATTAGCAACTTCCTCTACCAAATAAGCGTAGAATTGCTCTAATAGCTCTTTCCAGTGTAATTGTCTATACCTGCCAGAAAGGCATGTCCCAAACAACCGCACCAAATCGAATGCGGGACAGCCCATATGCGCATTCTAAATGTCCAACTCTTACTTAGTAGTGAGAGCAAGTTCACTCTCGTTATAAACAAAAGTTTTGACAGTTAGGTATTTCTCAAAAGCATTAATATTTAAAGCTTTGTGAAAATAGTACGCATGTGAAATACGCCAAATGAAAACATCAGATTTGTTGCCGTTCGTAGTTTACAAAAGTATTCTGGTCCACAGCTCCACCTCTACTCTAAAAAGGGAAGGATAGCAACATTATCTGGGCAACCAAAAAGGGATGTATATCAGAGCGTCTTCAGACGCTCATTCCAAATCTGCTTTCTTTTTCTGCGGACAACTCTTTGAAAGGATTTATAAGCGTTTGGATGTCCAAATTTGTCATGCTCTAAACGGCACAGTATCAGCGAACGGCTTTACAAAACACTTATTCAAATTTCTACTGACTGTATTCCTCCCTTATATTCAGTATAGT